GCCTGGGGCCCCGGCTGCTGGAGGGCCCAGGGCTGTATTGTGTCTCTGCCCCTGACTGGCCCCGGCTCTTTGTCTCTGCAGGAAGGAAGGCGGGAAGGTCTTTGTGAAGAAGAGGGATCCCCATGAGGAGGCCCTGAGGATCTTAAAGGGGCAGATGTCAGGGACGCCGAGGGCCCCGGTAGGAACATGCTGGTCTGAAGGCACAGGCGGCTGCTCTCCCCGTCGATAGCCTGGGGGGAGGAGGGCGAGAGTGGCCGGAGAGGCCGGCTGCTGGCCTGGCGAAGGCAGCAGCATGGGGCGCAGCTCTGAGTGTAGCTGAGCATTCGGGGTTACCCCCGGCAGTCCCTGCGGCTGGGATCAGAGACAGGGCTCCCGGGGAGAGCATGGCCCCTGGCTGGCCACTGAGCCCCAGGGCCAGGGAGTGTCCCCCACTCCTGCCCATGGGTCTGACGGGAGAGCCCCCCAGGCTGGGGAAATCGCCAGACCCCTCCCAGGAAGCTGGTCTCCACCTCTGTGTTGTAGGTGCCTAAGGAGACAGTAGCTATGGTGAAGCCGGTTACCAGCATCAGGAGGCCTTTCCGGCTGCTGTGGCCAGGTCTTTTCCTGCGTCGCCTCCAGGTAACAGCACGAGAGGCTGTGCAGCTCCAGGGCTCAGGGCTGGACGCCGGAGCCTCACGCTGTCCTGCCAGGTTCTGGGCCCGTCGCTTCCCCCGGCCAGGAGCGCGTTGCCGGGAAGTGATGGGAAAGCCTGTCGGTACTGATGGGCCTGGTCAGCTTAGCCCTGGCCTGGCGGAAGCCAGAGATGCCTCCGATTCAGCAGGCCCATCCTCCAGAGAGCCCCGCGGGCCTGGCCCTAAGAGCAGTGCCCAGTGTGCAGAGTAGTGATAGAAATGTAGCCGTGTTAGTCTGGGGTAGTTGAAGCAAAATGCAGGACAGTGTGCAGAGAGCCTGGTAGAGACCTTAGCCCTGCCGAGGTCTCGCTCCACTGCCACCCGACTTTCAACAGCTCCAGATCAGGCCTGTTTGGACCCTCGGACCCCGCTCGCTGCTGCTGCTACCCGCCCCCAAATGACCCTTTGGCATTGTCCATGCACGTTCGCATTTTGCAAGCTAGGAAAATGCTGAGCCACTGGATGCGCCCGCGGGTCCCTGGGCTATTAAATTGCTCACGTTAGGCCGACGAGGCGATAGCTATACACACGCAAGGCGATCGGTTACCATGGCGATGGGCTTGGGATGAGAGTCTGATGGAGCAGAGAGCTGCCAGGACAGAGGGGTGTCCCAGAGAGCCTAGAGGAGTGGGTAACTTGCACCCCATGAAATCTTCAGCCGATTGGGGGTGTACACCAATGTTCCCTCTAATCTTTTCCATCCATGGGGGAGGTCTAGGTTGGATATTAGGAAAAACTATTTCCTTAGGAGGGTGGTGAAGCCCTGGGATGGGTTCCCTAGGGAGGGGGTGGAATCTCCATCCTTAGAGGTGTTAAAGTCTCGGCTTGACAAAGCCCTGGCTGGGTTGATTTAGTTGGGGTTGGTCCTGCCGTGGGCAGGGGGCTGGACTCGATGACCTTCTGAGGTCTCTTCCAGCTCTATGATTCATGTGTGGAATAATTTTATGTGCACTGGGGCCTATGTGAATGCGCACCACCAGTAAAAACAAAACCTAGCTGTGAGCAGTCCTCTGATCAGCAGGGCAGCATTTGAATCTCTCCTGAGACAGGAAGCATTGATGTATGCCTGGGCAGGCGTCCTTAATAGGAGTTTGGCCAAGAGTCAGGGAGATTAGCCTTACATGGTCATCCGACCGTAGACATTTGTAGAGGCCAGGATAGGAAACCTGCAGGAGTGAGTGAATGCAAATCCGATGGTCCAGAGACCCGAGACATGGATCAGACTGGGCCGTGAACAGCTGGCATTCAATCCGAGAGCACCTCTGCTCAGTGGCAAGGCCAGGGACCCAGGGTACTTTCAGAGGAGTGGGTTTTCCTGTGACACTAGGCAGGAGGAAGTGACTAGGTCCTCATGTTCCTGGGCGTATGCTCGAACTCCTGATGGGATCAGGAAGCAAAGTCCCGCCCTCCCCAGCGCCTCAGGAGAGAGTATTGCACCATTTCTGAAGAGCAATTAAGCCAAACTCCTGATGGTTTATGGCCATTAAGGATCCCTCGGTATCTTCTGCAAGAGCTGAGCCTGGGATTAGAGTAAATTCCCCCTCGAGTAATGACATCCTACTGCCCTAAATTCCCCCTGCAATTTCAGTTGGACATGGACTTCTCCATCACTTCTGTAGTAAACAGTTGTGCAATGTTGTTCTTACACAGCTGCTGCCTTCCACCCCAGAGGTGACTGCCTTTCAGTGCTGGGTGAATTCTGAGTGGTGGTGTTGTGTGCAGTTACATAGCTGCTGCCTTCCACTCCAGAAGTGGCTGCATTTTAGTGGTGGGTGAACTGTTCCTGGTGCAGAGGATGTTAGCTTGCGCACAGCGTGGAACAGGGGAGAAGAAACAGTCTGGGCAGTACCCTTGCACATGCCAGAGCCCCTGAGGAGGCAGAAACTTGTCAGCTGTACCACACACATAGCTGCACCAATACCAGCTGGTAGTGGAAGTCTGGTGCAGTGGTTAGTGCACTGCCTGAGAACTCAGGAAATCCCAGTTCAGTTTGCTGCTCTGCTACAGACTTTCTGTGTGTGACCTTGAACAAGTCACTTTGCCTTCCTTTCCTGGAGGTGATCCCAGCACTGCTGTGCCCCTAGCCTAGGGACTTGGGAGGAGAAATGCAATGAAGGCTGTGCAGTGCCTAGAGACTAGGAGACGGCAGGTTATGTTGGTTGGATAGCGTAGGCCTGATTTGCCTCAGTGCAGTATGAAATAGCCGTGGCCTAGCTAGCCGGTTGCCTCCTGCAGCCACAGCACCTCAGCTGCCCGTGAGCTCTCTGCTGTGGCTCTTTTCAGTCGCAGTCTCCCGGGAGCTCCCAGGCGAGCAGGAGCAGGTCCAGACGCAGCTGCACCGGTGCTGCAGCGAGGAGTTCTACACCTACCGCAACGTGTCCTGGAAAATATACATCCGGAAAGAGGTACTTGCCCAGGCAGGGATCCACGTGGTCCCCTCCTCCCTCTCCCATCTGACCCACAGGGCCAGGGGACATCAACACCCAGGCCAGACCCTGATGGTGGAAAGAGCTGGCCTGAAAAATCACCGTTTGTCTCTTTCTGCGGAGGAACCGGGCCATCTAGTGGCTGTTAAGGCGCAAATGCCATAAGCGCGGAAAGTAGGGGTGCGGGAGGAGGGTGCTGCGGCATCCCAGCCCCATGCCCCTGCTTCCCAGGTTCCCGGATGCCAGCTCCGTGCCCCTGCCACCCAGGCTTCTGGCTGCTGCCCACACTGCACCTCTCCTGTGGCCGCCACTTCCAGGCCCGGGGAACCCTTTAGCGCG